TATTTATTTTATTTTATTTGTCTCGTTCTTTTTAGCATTACTTAGCATATTATTAGCATTTAGCATATTTGTTTTTTTTATTTTCTATTAATTTTAATATTACATTAACAATATTATATTATTTTTTAATAGATATATAATACATAACAAGATAGTAAAAATATTTAGTAAAAAAGAATAACAAACATAGTCAAAATAAATATAAAAGTTTGCCAGAAACCTAATGGAGAAATTTTTACACCACCACTACTACTACTATTATTATTATTATTAGAAGTTGTTATATTATGATTGGTACTAGTAGAGGTAAGATTTAATATTGTTTTTGTTTGGGCAAATCCAACTTTATAATTATCAAAGTCAAATACACTATAAACACTTGTCAAAAACACATCACCAATTAACCAATAGTTTTCAGTATTTGATTGTATACCTGAAACACAATATTGACTCGGTTGACTAACTTTTATAACAAATTCAATAGGATCGATTGAATATGTTCCGTTATCAAATGTTAATGAAATTACAGATTTTGTATTGCATGGAACAACCCAAAGCTCACCAAGCTCAGGTTGTCGATAAAGTCTAGCACCGGGAATTTTGGTATGAATTAAATTAACTACTGAAGGAACGCCGTAGATTAACGAAGTTCCTAAAATAAAATAAAATAAAATAAAATAAATATTATAATAATAATTGAATTAAGAAGAATAAATAATACTAACCAGTATCAATAATAGCTGGGGCAGATTGAAGAGAACCAATCGACTTTCCATCAACCATAATGCCATTTAATCGGATTAACCAAAACCCTAATGAAACATTTGCAGTATTATATCCAATAGAATCTACAATAGCATTTTGGTCAATACCACCAAGTGTCATAAAGCTTATATCATTTGAATTATTTTTTTCTCTCGCCAAATGAAAACCAATTATATTATGAGATAATTTTTCTTGGGCTTTTATCGATTGCATAACACCATTCACTTTAAATCCAAGAGTATTTAAAGGCCCAAGACCAATAACACCGTCTTCTTCTAGATCTCCAAAAGGTTCACTTGTTACTAAACCAAAGG